AAAGATTGAGCAAGCAAATCCGGTCACTGTTCTGTCCTATCAACCATGGATAAGTTCCTCGTTTCTGAGATTCTAAGCTCAGGTAGAAACATGGAATAAAAAATAAATAAAGTGTTTTAATCAACGATTCACAGGTTACCAAATTCGAGTAGGGTGAATCTCCAATAAGTAAATCCCAGATCAGACCAGAAAATACATTCTGCTTGGACAAAATTCAACTAGATTCTACCAAACATTCTAGCCAAAGAACACGCAAGAACCCTAACTACATGATTATCTGAACTATGCCCGTATGTTCGGAATCATACTCACCCAGAGTCAGGCCAGGAAAATCACCTAGGGAGGGATAGTTATCACCAAGAAAGATCGATATAAAATTGAACTCGGGAAAATCAGTATCTATAAAGGAACAATCTTGTTATTGCCATAAGCTAAGAGGGCAGATATCAGATTGCTGGCAGCAACAAAGACCTTAAGTTCATATGTTTCTGAATCTCTTCTCAGACAAAAAGAACTATAAACTCACATAACCAGCAATATCTGACCCCTTTTGTCAAAATTTTGGTTTCGTTTCGTCCTAAGAAACCGAAACTTGTAATAGGACAGACTAGTAAACCCATCAAACAGATGATTCAGTCTCGCTACTTGCAAGTGAGATGGATTGACAACGTTTCACACTCCCGTTTCACTGATGATATGCAGACGCGATCTCACTCATGAAGTTTATGCCCTAATCCGTCAACCGAAATTCCCAGAAACCCTTCAACTCTCGCGATCCGATCATAAGCCTAGATCGATCACAACACAAACACCAAAACTTGACATCTATCACGCGATTTTCAGTGAAAACAGCAAAAGGGTCTAAGAAAGATTGAACATTGGAAAGGGGGAAAGGAGCAGAAGAAAGAATCGGAGAAGAGTGAAGACCGTGATGGGCGTAGATGTAAGCAGCTCTCCACGAGTAGATATGATCCCCGGGTTTCAGACTCGCCTCATCGATCCTTCCAAAAAAAAAGCATTACAGAAGAATTGCAAAACAAGAAATCGAAAACCCAGAAGAATTACAGAAGGCAAAGACGGGAAAACCTGTTGGAGAACAGACCCATCCCTCTCTCTTTCTCGCGCTGACTCCGTCTTCAGATCTTTCACAGAGAGGAAAGGTTGCATGAGACAGTTGCGTGTTTTTAGGACAAAGTTGGAAAAAAAAAAACATCAATAAATTACTCAAAAAATAATTTGTTATAAAAATGTATCGATTAATGATGACCAATTTACTTCTACACTAAGTTTATTATAAAAATACAATTAACTTTTAATTAAAAAATGTTATAATTTTTTTATTTTACTTTAATGAAAAGATTTGCATATCATTGGCGGGAAGGAAAGATCGCGGGAGACAAAGTTGCGTGTAGTGCGCAAAGCATCAAATTCTTTTTAGCTTTGCAAGTTATTGTCAGGAAAAAATTCTCCAAAATACTCTTCAATTTTATCCGATAATATCTTGAATACCTAACTATATAATATAATCTTTCTCGTTAGTGACTGAAAAAATAACCCCTCATTTAACCAAAAAAAATAACCCCTCATCTTCTATATCCCAATAACCTAATTATATTATATCTCGTTGTTGTATCTTAATTATATCTCATTGTTTTCCCTTATTTATTTCTCTCTTCTATCCTTAAAGTTTATAAAGTTTGGAAGAAAAGTTAGGTATTGGTGGAGCTTGCATAATGTAGTTGTAGTTAAGGTTGAGTTTAGGATTTAGGGTTTAATCCCATTACATTACAGTTTACACCATAATCTCTTCGATTACTCCTTTTTGTAAATTTATTTTTTTATGAATTTTTCTAAAAAAATATCGAATTTTCGAATCGACCCAAAAACCTATTTAAAACAAACCCAAAAACCCAAATTTTTTCTAGCAAAAAAAAAAAGACTCGAAACCCAACATTTTTTGGGTGGATTCAAACCGAGTTTCAGGATTCAGACCTAAATTGATGTCTCTAGTTCGTGATATTTTATAAAAAAAATATTTGTTATCAAAAAGTGTTCCCATAACTAGGGATGTCAATTAAACCGGAAACCCAAGACCCAGCATGAGCCCACCCAAAAATTGAAACTTAGCATAAAACTTTCTTAGGGTTTGTATTCTCATTGATTCCCAATATATACACCACAATGATGATATGGCAAGAGATACATATAAG